TATTTTATAAGAAATTTAGCAATTACAGATACTTTTACGTTTCGACAATTATTAGATGAAATTGATATCACATCTCCTCCTCCTGGAAAACGAATTGTGATTTCTGACCCTCAAAGTGACCGAGTCTTTCCTCTAAGTCAACCTATTCGAAGTGTTTTACCTCGTCCTACTTCTTCTCATATGGAATTTTATCTTGGATTAACTGATAAAACATCAATTGATTGGAAGTGCTAATACTATCGCTATTATTATCATTATTATTTATATTTATATTTATCTTACTATTACTACTATTACTACTACTATTATTATTATTATTATTATTATTATTATTACTATTACTATTACTATTACTATTACTATTACTATTATTATTGTTGTTGTTGTTTTGGGTTTGTTTGATTTGGTTATTATTATTAAAAAAAAGAAAAAAGGAAAAAGGGAAAAAAAAGGAAATCAAGGTTAAAAAGACAATACATATTATCCTTTTTTTTAATAATTATCATTGCTTCAATACTATTTTTATTCTTTTTACTACTATTATTAATTTTTTTATCATTATTATTTTATACTATTATTCCTTTTAGCTTTATTTTTGTTTTTGTTTTTAATTATTATTATTAGTATTATTATTTTTTTGCGACTAATATTATATCAGTATTATTACTATTTCTTATTATTATTTTTGATATTAGAGTACATCCCCTTTTTTTTATTACTATTATGATTATTAATACTATTGGACTTTATACACTTGTTAAAGTAAAAATTAAAAATACAAAAACAAAAACTTATATATATATATATATATATATATAATAAAATGTACAAAAAAAACACAACATGTATTTTATAGTAAAGTGTGGTACAAAAAAAGAAAAACAGATTCTATGATTTTAAAAGGTATAAATTATATATTTAAATTAAAAGCCCGGGATTTTTTTTTTTTTTCTTTTCGCTCTCTTTTCATTTCCCTTTTCCTCTATTTTTTTTATATCACGTTCACTTTCCCTTCAATATTATACCAATTGATAGATAACAGTTGTATAAAAATAACACATAAACATACACATACACATACACACACACACATACACACATATATATATATATACATAAATATATAATTGTATACACATACTTCTTCTATTGATATTATTATTATTATATTTTAGTTTATTTATATATATATATTTATTTGGAAAAGATATGGTATTAACGATTGAAGAATATAAACCAACACAAAAAAAGTGGATTGAATTATTTTGTAGTGAATATTATAATAAGAACCGATACCAACATATTTTTAAAAAAATTACCGTTCAATGTAAACGGTTATGGTCCTACGGTATAGTAGTCATTGTTGCTCATGCATTTGGCGGGCATAGTTTATGGCGTCCTTCATCATCATTTATAACTTATTTTAATGCTACCACTTCCACCACAAACACTTTAGTCATAGAGCTAACCATATGGAGTGCAGGTGTTGGTATGGCTTGTTATGTTTGGTTATCTCAACTTTATATTAAAAAAATCAAAGAAAAGACAACTCTTATTTTGGATGCAATTCAACAAGCTCAGCAAGAACCGAAAAGCAATATATGGGTCATGAAGGATAAAAAAGAGGAAAATAAGATCATTGGCTTGGCAATTTTAAACTATAGAAAAGAAGATGAGGATGATGATAGTAATAATAAAAAGAGTGTGGTGGATGAAGGTCAAATCCAAGTTTTTGCTACAGAATCACGAATCGAACTGGCTTTGGTTCAAAATGCAATGCAATATGCCCGACAACAAGATATTAAAGTAGTTACTCGAAAAAATAAGCTGGATCATTTTTTTTAAACCCATATATATCTAACACACGCACACGCACACGCACATCATCATCACCGTTAACACTTACGTAGTTTATTTCTATTTCTATTTGTTTATGTGTTTATTTATATTTATTTTCTATTCTATTTTTTTTCATTTTTTTTCTTCTACTTTATTTATTTATCTTTTATTTGTTAACATGATATAATTATATAAAAACTTTGTTTTATGTACACTATTATTTATTTAATCCATATTCTCTATCCCATGCTTACACATGTATTCTCTTTTCCCTTTCTTTTCTTTCTTTTTACTTTTCGACTTTTTTTTTTTTTAAAAAAAAAGAAATAGGGCAAAAACTAGTATCACGTTACTTTAATATCAAAAAGAAAAGAAATAATAATAATAATTATAATAATAATAATAACTATAGTATGGTATCAACTATAACCAACTCACCACTACCACTCATAATAAATAAGCAGAATTACCATCCACCAATGATCCATCTTTTTTCACCAACGACTACTTTATCAGGTGATTTAACATATGTAGATAAAACTTATTACAACTTGAATGATATATCATCATTATCGTTGTCAACGAACAATAATCAAAAATCAATCGACAATTCACAATTATCTATTCACTCTGCTATGTTGAATAAAGCTGTCGGCCTCTTGACTAGTATAAGAAAGCTTGATTTGTAAGTAGAAACGTATATAATAAAAATAAATATAAAGGTAGAGAAAGAGAATAGATCATTAATACTAATATATACATGTACATATATTATTATAACTATAGACGAAGCTTAAATTTACCATTTTTACCAACACAAATCACTCATCTTTCACATCTGACCTTGCTCGATCTCTCTTATAATCAACTTACTACTTTACCATCCACCTTAAACCAATTAAAACAATTACGCCACCTGAATCTTGCCTATAATCAATTGGATCATCTCCCATCTGTCATCAGTCAGTTACCAAAGCTAACTATCTTAAATATCTCTCACAATACCCAATTAACCCATTTACCAAGATCTTTAGCACAGGTACATCGATTAGTACATTTAGATATATCTTATACCAATATAGCATCTCTGCCTGTAGAACTCTCTACAATCATGACTATACGATACGATCATTGTGATCGTTTACTCCATCACATGGATGGGTTTGAAGATCAATTAGTGCACCATCCTCCTAGTCTAATGGAGCTATGTGTTAGACATATCTTGGCTTTACCTAATTATTCAACTATTTTAAAATTACGACTTGAACAACAACAACAACGGCAACAACAAAATCAGGAAGAAGAGGAAGAAGAACAGGGGGGGAAAACCGAGGAAAAGGATGAAAAAGAACTAATACCAATACATAAGCATCAATTGAAGAAAAAGAAGAAGAATGTGTTGAAGCAAAAATTAAAAACTATATGGCAACTTGGGAAAGAAAAAATGAAACCAACTCTTTATAGCCATTCTACACCATCATCTTCAACATCTACTTTACTCGAATTACCTGACCATGTATGGGATTATATGATGAACGCTCAACCTTGCTCTTTTTGTGGAAAACTATTTGTCAAAGACTATATACTTAGGTATCGCATCATTCAGCGATTAGATGAATCCTTATTACCTATTTATTATCATTTATGTTGTGCTCATTGGTCAAACGAATCGGATCGTTTATTACTACAATTTTCTACTCCTTCATAATATACATATATATTTACCATTTTACACCTCGGGTAATTTTTTTAAATGTTATTTGGTATTTAGTATGTGTGTGTGTGTGTGTACTATTAATAAAATAAAAATAAACTTATTTGATTCTATTTATCGTGGCAAATATATTAAAAAATTGTATATTTTAATCCATCTAATAAATAATATATATATTTATAAATATAGTAGTTATAAATGTTATTTTGATAATTTATGCCTTTGGAAAATTTTAATTTTATTAGCCAATGAAATCTAGGTTTATTAAATTATTAAAAAAAGGAATAATTTTTTCTACATTTAAACAAATATAAAATCAATAGGCTGAATCCCTTTTCGTTTTTTTTTTTTAAAGGTTTTTACGTACTTTGAATATGCCAATGAAAAAGATTATATATAAATATTTGGCTTTTTCTTTTTTAGTAACAGTAACCTGGAAATGAAAGGTTATTATTATTATTATTAATAGTACACACACACACACACACACATATATATATATATATATATATATATATATATATATAACAGCATAGACAGAGTTGAAAATAAAATTATGGAAATCAATACAGATTAAAAAAACTTTTATATCATACATCTATATATTCAATTATATAATCTTTCTTGCATTAGTAGTTTAATTCTATTTGAACTGTTTAAAAATAGGTAGTTTATTAAAATTTCATAAATTGAGCAGAGTATTACAAAGTAACCTATCGGTTATGGATAATATCAAATCCATGCGTTTATTAGTTTAATTTAAATGGATTACATTATATATTTAGTAGTGTAAAGTTAATCATAACCCCATATAATGCACTCACGAAAAGAAAGAAAATCCTTGGAATAAATGATCTGGATTAAAAAAAATTTATTTAACTTGTACACTTAATAAAGCAAATTATATAAACTTATTTTATCTTATTATATTTATTTACTTGCATGTTTTTAAACAACTCTAACTTAAATCACTTTATATTTTTACACCATCTCATTTATTTAACTAGGCGGTCACTAAACTTTTACTCTAACTCTACTTGTTTTAAAATGCTTTTTATTCTTCTTTTATTCTTTTTTCTTTTATTTTTTTCAATTTTTATTTATTTTTGTCCCATTATTCAAGTCATTCTACTTATAAAAGGGAACTGGTGCTCACTGAAGCTCTATTATTTAATCCGAATATAACTACAAATACTTGTTCTTTTCAAAAAAATAAATCTTATCCAAAAACCTACATAGCATCGTTTCATTTCTAATCATTATACTTATAAAGCAGAAAATGGTACTTACAGAACTTCCCTTACTTGTTATAAATACAACTTCAATTATTCATTCATTTTTAAAAGCAATTCTGACCAAAAGCCTACATTACATGGCCGAATCTTCAGCTTTTCAGGCTATGGCTAAACCATTGAACCTTAATTTATAGATAGGTAAAAAAATAATTTGCCAACTACCAGAATCGAACCGGCGGCCTTTCGCTTACTATTCGTACATACGAGGCGAACGCTCTGCCAACTGAGCTAAGATGGCAATTTCTATTAAATTTTTTCAAAAAAATATATTTAGAATTAAGACATAATATTTTTTAAAATACTTTACACTGTTTGGAATACTTTTTAATAATTAAAATAGACGATTATAATGAAAAATGTGAAAAAAATAGTGTCTTAATATAAAAAAAGTAAGATTGTAAATATAGGAAAACGATTGATTTAAAGGGAATGATGATGGATGATCATTTTAAAAAAAGTATATGTAAACCTATACTGTAACATAATTAATAAAATAAAGCTGAAATAATTTATCCATACAATACAAATCAAAAAGAAAAAGTTTTTTTATGAAAAATTTTTTCTATGTATTTTTAATCATTTTTCTCTCTGGTATAAATTAAAATCCCGATTTTTTTTTTGATTATAAATATTTAGTAAACTAAATAAATTCGTTAAAAAATAAAAAATAAAGCTATTAATGTTTTTTATTATCTTAAAAGCAATTGATTAAAAATCCATTTTATTATTAGTAAAAAAAAATTATTATTATTATTTCATATTATTTATGAACAATTAATAAGACGGATAGAGTTTATTTATTTTTCTTTTATTTTTTCTTTGGATGAATCAGCAAAATAGAAATAAGAATATTGATAAATTCTCGTATTACTCAGACAATTCGTTGCTGACAAATTTTATGCTAATGGATGAATTCATTTCCGCACTGGATTATCTTGTCACAAGAGTTTTTTTTTATATTCCCCTTTTTTTAATTTTTAAAAGTGTTTCGATTTTCTCTCTCTTTTTTTTTAACCTTATAATTTTTTCCCTTTTCTTCCTTATTTTTTTTCTCTCTCATTTTTTTTTTTTTTTTTTTTTTTTTTTTTTTTTTTTTTTTTTTTTTTTTTTTTTTTTTTTTTTTTTTTTTTTTTTTTTTTTTTTTTTTTTTTTTT